TATATAGATCGTATCTGATTGGTGTGAAAATTCCATACAGTTAATGGACTGGTATACATTTGTCGAGCAGCAGAGCCTGTTATGGTAGAAGATAGCAATACAGTTAGTTAATCGTTTGTATATGTAAAAAGATAGATATGTACGAGCGGGTCCAGCAGATGTTATTCTATTGGTATGACAACGAGTTTTGTGTCACTTTTAACACAGAGAATGGATTTTTCCTTTACACGCTAAATGAGCAAATTCAATTAAAATGATCGCGGTTGTAAAAATGGTAAGCACGGTCATACGAAGCGAAATGGTCCACATCTTTCAATGCACCACTTATCGATTAATACTGCAATAATAATAGTAATTTGCTTAACTAAACCCGCCTCATTCCAGCATTAACCCACTATCTTTCGAAGTCAGACCCATATGATTCGCCACAAGGTAAAATGGATTACTTTACGTGAAATTACACAACCGGACGCTATGTTGGGAAAGCCAGTTGTTTGCCCAGCTATAAAATTGCATACCTTCCCTTTACATATACAGGGTATACGTCCAAGACGACAGAATTGTTTCTAGTTAGTTAACTAGAAGTAGCTCTGTTTATCGTAGGCCGTTCTCTTGTGGCAATCTACCGAGAATGCCAGTCTATACAGGGTATCTATACCCTTCACCAACAAACGCACACGTCTACAATTGAATCCGTTGCTGCCTGTAATCGGTCTCCGTTGCTAGGAGTTCCTCATTGCACTCGGAGGCTGAGGCTTTATCAGTAGCTGATTTTCCATCAAGTGTGCTTGCAGTACAGGCCGCATTGCCCTATGCAGACTAGCCGCATAAGAGAGCCTGTTGTAATTGGATTGCATAGGTTTTGCATGTGAGGAAGGACCTATTTGCGCTACAAAGGATTATGTGTTGGAAAAAAAAGCGCATATCTATCTATTGGATTGTCCGTCAGCATTCTAAGCGTCTAATGGTAACACGCTATAATAAACAGGACACTTTGGCAAAAAAAAAATAGGCCCTCAAACCGTTCCCTGTTAGCCTTATTATCCTGAATCATCTCGGTGGAACGGTCACTGCAAGTGTTGATCGTTTAATAAAGTTAACTTTTATTCTTCAACTTGAAAAAATTCTCAACTAGAAACGTCCAATAATTCGGATATTTATTTTAACAAGTGGTCAGATTTGCTTTTGCATTCGTAGATGACGAATTCTACAAAGGTGTACGCGGTTTAGACGTCGTTTATTTTCTCGAAAGTGAGATTACCTAGAATATAAAAATAGAGGTTTTGGTTCTTATATTGTCATTGAAAAAACTTTATGTAAACGAATCTGTGTTTTTTTTCCGTTGATCGGACACGGAACATACACGATCGTTGCGTAACAGATGTCCGGGCGTCTTCACGCTTTTACCCATATAGCCATCGGCTAAAAAAGATGTTACCAATTCCCTTTCCGATAGTTTTGCAAATTTATCATTGCGCTGCTTGGTACACACGCACGAAGTTTTCCTTCATTCTAGATGAGGCCCCAAGGATACATCTTAAGGTCCTATCCCTACTTGTTTTCAATAAAAACGCGCCTGTTTTTCGTAGCATTGTTATGACTCCCCCATTGTGAGCGGTTAACTCGTACGCTGATTCGTCTACACAGGTCACGATCTTCCGCTGTTTTCATACCACAGCTTTCTGAGTGCATGTGTGTGTATACGACATTTCAGTGCACTGAACACTAATGAATGCCCTTCACTCGGTAACCAATGGCTCGTTTACACCAGTAGGGGGCCATCGATTCACCTGATCATTGTATGTTTCATAAAAAATATTCCAGACAAAACGTCTGAATTGTGCACGCTAGGATTTGGCAAAAAAGCACGCGTCGGCTACTGAATAGCGGCCAGTTTTCGGATACGGAACGAGAACGGTTGGATCGAGAATTTTTTCCTATTGATCGTTCGTCAATGATGAGAGAACAGTGTCAACTTAAGCCAGTCATATACTGCAGTGTCTGTATGATCTAGGATTAGTGCATTTCCGTTTTGTAATCGTATATACATTGGTGTAGACCGTTGCACCCCATATATTGCAACCCGTTTGGTAGTCAGTGGACCGTGTTAGTGCTTTGAATTGATTTTCGATAACTATCAGAGCAGTACGATGATGAGGTCGAAGTCAACGAGGTCTAACATTTGATAATATCACTGAGCGTCATTTAATACATAACATATGTTTCCCCTAACAAGTAGAGATACGAGACAAATTCAGGCCCAAATAAAGACCTTGCGCTTTTTGAGCAGCAATGCAAGCATTTCAAAGGCCGCTTGGCTCTATTGCCGCGAAGAGCAAACATAGATGGAACAGGCCACTTGAATAAGTATTATGTTTTAGTCAACAAAGCGTACTATATATTAACGGAATTGTCTGTTAATCAACAATTTCACTATTGCTATGTATTTCCTTACTGAGTGTACATTAATATCTCCTCTACTCGTTTAGGTTACGATTTTTGTAACGTAGGTTACGATTTACGAAATTTTCGTATTGTTAATTTTTTTCTATATGCCAAACGGGAAATCAATCAAACCTTGTTTGGCAAATATTTTGTTAAGGCTTATTTTTTTTTTCGTTTATATCTCGCACAAAATAACCACGTGTGTTTACATGTTTGCCCATTGATTAAAACTAACTCTACAATTAAAGCTTCGATGGAGATATTTTTGTTGTTTAGCGCCAACTTTTTAAACGCTTATTTAAGTTCCTACGGCTGCGCCAATGTTCTTCAATCATATCACGCGTTTCATCCCTTATTAGGTTAGGTCTGCGGCCCATATTACCGTTTTAGCTGATATGCCTCAACTGATAAGGAATAGCAAAGCAAGACGTTAACGGTCCATTGTCTTGACGTGTTTCGTAACGTGAACAGTTTGGCCACAGTTGCTAGTGCTTGCAATAGTTGATCTTTGAATCAGTTGGAAGCCGGCCAGCTATTTGCTTTAAGTTATCAATACTGTGCTTGCTTCATTCCTGTTTAGAGTATTACCTCGTAGCCTAGCTTTTACCATGATTATAAACATTCTACATTTAAAAATGTTCGTGTCTACCCTCTCTGAACGAACGAAACGAGTTACCTTTTCAGGTCGGCATTATGGGCAGAAAATATGACAGGTCTTGCTGGGCTTATCTAGTCCAGCTGAATCCAACCATACACGCATCTCTTTCGGAAACTGATCGGCACACAGTTTTTGATTGTTATATAACGATTCTATCAATTTGGACATTTGGCTACACTTACATTTGGACATGGCTAGGTGTCTCTCGTTTCTTTGAAAAGGATACCCATTAGCCACGAAGACTACTCACATATTTCTTCATCAGCCCTCTCTAGTTGACGCGCGCTAATATTCTTGTCTTTCTCCCGTTTCGTCATTATTCGTATCATTTTATTATATTTGGAAATAGTTCGAGACGTGGATTGAACGCTTCTATAACTCAGAGTGCCACAAACTGATGAAATTTCGACTCTATAGAGATTTCTATTCTACTTTTCCTAGATCTCGCCTACACTATTGGACAGGTCTCACTATACACGATAAGAACAGGAAGATCAACATTCCTTCCAACATTGATTGAAGCTAATATGCTAACACGTAGAGCTGTGGCACCTTCGTCGATAGTCATTGCTCAGCAATGCTTGTCCAATCCGTGAGTCCACACTTCAATGCAGCTTCCAAGGCACTTTTCTTTTTTGCTTTCTCTTCATCGCTAGCCAGCGCCAGAAGCATCCACGCAATGGGCGCAACACCTCACGTTGTCGATATCAGTTCAGCTGAACTGAATACGTAGTGTCAGTAGCAAATATTCCTCAATGTTTCGAATTTTACGTGGGGTATCGCCGTTGAGCAATGCATCGGGCAGACAGTTGGCTTCCAGCATGAAACGAAGCTTATCTATGCCCAGTTTTGCAAGAACCCCTACATCAATCATACGTGTGGTACCGCTACGCTCGTAATAATCGGCACGTAAATGGATGCATCTATAAGGCGACTTTTCACCGTCACAACCGCGTATGTCGGCTTCTAAGCGCTTCAATCAAATGTATATCACTATTTCATGGCATAGCGATGGCGGGTTGATGAAAATAGTTGGCCCGGCATGAGCCCTTGTTTTTTTAGAGATGTGTGATTTTCTGCTGGTTTCCTAGGCAGCCGTATCTGACATGAAGCTCGCCTGGTCAGTCTCTTAAATTGTGGCCGCTCTCGTGGAGCTCTGGAGTGCGCGCAGTCGACCGTCGGAGGCCGCGCGGCTATCAAAAGAGCAAATAGAACTTTGTTCTTCGTTCACTCCAAATTCGAATTGCTGACCTTAGAATTCATTAATTAAAAGCCTGAACTCTGCCGGTTTCATCATCAATTTTGAAGACGGCGCCAGCACTGCCATCGCACATCCCGAAATAGGCTTTTAGAATAGACTGGCCGAACAGTTGAGAGGTGATTTCAGAAGCGTGAAAAAAATTAATGGCTCGAGCAAATGCCAAGTGTTAGATAGTGATATGATATACAATATGCAGATAGTTCGTTCCGATATGCAATACAACCGTCCGTCTTTTGTACTAGGAGGCATATTTC